CCCCGACCTGTGAATATATGGCCCAGCTAGGGCTAATAAAGTCGAAGGTTTACATTCAAGTCAGAAATACATGGAAGTATATGACTATATGTTTCATTGGTTTAATTGTCTTATATGAGCATCTCTTGTTTGATATACATCATATCATTCTTCACATTACTTGTTAAGATTTGATAGTGGTAACACACGTATGATATGTGTAGCAGACATTATCCTATGGGTAAGAATTATTTTCAATGATGAATGAAAAAAATATTATATATCTTATGTAATGAAATCTCTCATACTTCAATTGTCATACTCCTGAAGAGTTATAAAATAAAAATGTCCACATATATAATTAATTTGTCCATGCATCTGATTACTCATGAAGCATATGTGGATTAATTTTAACATGTGAATTGTGTGTGTTGTTTGGAATATATATGGTGAAGCTATCAAAATATGCACTTATGACATGAATTTAGTTTGAAAATAATAGTTGCATATTTTGTTTCGCTGTTTTATGTATTGAGTATTGACGTGATCCGAAGTTATTGAGCCTCAATCAATTTAAATATCTTCAACTTTAGTCTAATTGACTAATGAACGGTATGCAATTTGTATAGTCATGAATTGCAGAGCAAATATCCTCTTGAATTTTATACTTATAGATATGAGTTTCCCTGAAGGATTATATAATTAAAAGTATCACTAGTGAATTTAAATATCAACCTAGATTTGGTTATCCTTGAAGGATTGGTCCTATTGACCAGTACCATAATTGCATAAGAATTATCTAGCGAGGATCTTTGACAAATTTATCTAGTAAGCAATCTCGTTGATTTTTGGATAAATTCGTGATTTTTTTATTTTAGATCAGCTCTGCATATTCAACATACTTTTAATGAAGTTATGTAACCATAATGTTACATAGATTGAATCTATACAAAAGTATTATGAAATTATTTATGTTTGCTTGTATATTTGATAAGATGCATACCACAGACTTATATTGTTGATAGCTATAATGTTAATTTATATGTAGTGCCTGAAGCATATAATATAGTTTATAGCTACAATAAAAGGCTCACAAGCAAAGTATAGTCGTAGTGCCTGAAGCATATAGTGTTCACTTAGAAATGATTATTATACTTCGATGCCCAACTTATATATTGATAATTAGCATGAGCAGTTGGATCATATTGGGCAATTATTTATGAAAATTTCCCCCTAATATGCGTGGAGAATCAAGCATTTCCCATCTGCAATTTATTTTTATATTTTTTATCACCACCAATTCGTACCTTTATGGGCCTATATTACAAACTAGGTATGCTATGTTTTTTTATATATACTCCGTTGAATCTTTAATACCTAGAGGCCCTTATGGGGATCA